AAAAAATGATAGCCACAAACGGAAGTGGTGTAGTGGCAAGTGGCACGCTTACCACGCGAGCGGTCCGGGGATCAAATCCTGGGTCGTGAGTCGCCCGGGCCAACCAAGCCTTCCATCCCTCCGGGGTCGGTTAATTGGTACCAGACTTGTCTGGGAGGATAAAAACACTGACTTGTACATCGGCTGGCCCCCGCAAGTCATTGTATAGGCCACATCAGCACTACAGCATCCGAAAACGGGATAATCAACGGCAAAGTCTTTATCCTTTTATCCTTTAACCACAAACAAGACCGAAGTTGTTTTCGCATTCCAGCTTCTACATCTTCGTCGATTCCGATGGCATTGGCGTCCACGTCCATCCGAGCACACAGGACCGTTTCGACACCATCGTGAAAGGTACGCAGATCACATCTTCTCACAAACCTCACCAAGTAGGGTGCGCGTATAACGTGCACTCCTCTGCTATCCCTTTCAGCGACAGCGCTTTGTAATCGTAAATTTACCGGCTCGCTCACCCTTCAAGAGACCAACCAGTTTCGCTGGTAAACACCATTTGCTTCACGTTTCCTTTTTTATAGCGTAGTTCCGTGTTTTTCAGGCTCCGTGGAGAGCATGGGGTGAGCAAACACTTTCAAAAATCCTTGAAAAAACTGCAGGGTTTCCGACTAGAGAGTTTTGGCAATGTCTGAGCAAATTGTACTGCGGTAACACAACCATAGTGGTCACTCAGAGGTTTTATCCATTACCCATACATATTTTTCGTTATTCCATATTATCCGTTTTATCCATATTGAGGCACTGAACGCGTCTTTTCACTGGACTGTGAGGTCCAATTTGTATTCTTATTTTATTTATTAGGCTTTAATATCAAACTAGGCCTAATGTATCAATTTGCTAACTAACCAGGGAATGTTTTGAACTTCCCATGGAACTTTGAAAGGAGACCTAGGTACATCGATAGAGTCTTGGACGCTGATTACAAATATGGACACTAAAACTGCTACGTGAACTTTGTAAGAAAGTTGTGAGCCTTAAAAGTTGCAAAAGAACGCTAATGATGGTGCAACCTATGTGGAAACACGGTTGCTTTTTGCCTGGAACTTGTTCTATAAGGGTAAATGGGTGCCCTGATTACGAATATGGGACTCGTTTTTGGCGCGGAGCCACGAAGCACTTATATCCACCTCGTGGATTGAAGCCTTGAGAATGCTCTACCATTTGTTAGTCATAAATGTTACCTATGAATTTTTCAGAAAAAAAAGAAAATTTTAGAAAGAGTGTTGCAGAACTTTCTTTCCAACCTAATATAAGACCGTAATAAGCTGTAAGACCGTTTATGCCACTGCGTTAGCTCCGAGCCTTTCTCAAATGCACATGGTCCTTCTCGGAAACAGTTTTCATATGGTGATGGAGCTCTTGTCCAAAATACACAGGGCAGGTCTATGAAAATGATGTCGAAGCACATCCCCCGAAAATCAGTTTTCCCAGAACATGATTGCGCAATTCACTATTCTAGTTAGCAATATTGTGCCAAATTTTGATCTACATTACTCCTCATTCTGACGATTTCGTGATGTATACACTCGAGCTTTTCTCAGCTCCACATTCTATATGATCTATAGACACCCCTTTATGGAGTGTTTCAGTAGTTTGGCGCATGTACAGGCGATTGAGGGCATTAGCGATCAGGCCGTGGAGGCTACATACGTATTGATGGGGTTGGCTCTTACCCATAGGTTGTAAGGCGAGTAGCCGCGTATGTATCCTTCCTTTATCGCTTACTCGCCTAATCGACTACTCGCCTACTCGCCTGATCGCCCAATCGCACGTACGATCGCAAACTATGAACAGTCCATTACACGGCTTTCTTCCAGGACATTGTTTTGGATGAGCTCATTGCCCTGTTTCTTCTACAGAAAGCTTTCCCAATTTCAGAGTCGTGTCCTTGGCCGATGAACGCGTCCATCTGATCACTTTGGAGCGGAAAACGCCACTCGGCACCCGTCATGCATCGAAGAAATTTGACTTCTACGTGAGTTTAAGAGCTTTTTTCCACTGACAGCCTGAACCTTCCCTTCTTTTCCTTTGGGAGAAGCCAGATGAGTAGACGACTTCAAAGCATGATTGTTCCAGATTGACGGTGTCTACAACGAGATCCCCGACATTGCCAAGTACACACTTAACAATATTACTGTAAGGGCCGACGAGAGTGGCGAGTCGAACCCGGTGGTCTATCCATGGTAATTGACTTTCACTTGATCTTCCCATCAAATTTACCCAATCCAATGCTAATGTCAGATATGGGAGTGGCATACGAGTACGACGAACATCAGCCTTTTCTCCATCACCACTCCAATCGATTACATCAGGTAATCGGTCCGTCTTTTTCTGAGTCTGACCTCAACGATCATCCGTTGTCAGGTGGACGTGCAATCAATGTTGCTCCGGCATCGTCTCCACGGGCCCATGGAGGACGTGACGGTCACCGATCCGTTTCTGTGGAGAAAAGTTCCGTCCGCGGCTGCGCGATCGTCTCCTCCTGGCGAAATTGTGGCGTACACTCCGGGACTCCTTTGAACCGCAACAACTCGTAAAGTGGGCGCAATCGTGAGGATACTTTGCAAATCCGTCGATCCTAGCGGATTGCGAGTTCCGAGCGGTTCGAGATGGCGAGGATCCCGCATTTTCGCACGTTCTCCACCTTTCCGAGCTTAAGGTCGGGCAGAGGCCCCGGAAAGCGGCGGAAGTCACGCTGCAAACGAGTGGGACTTCGCCATTTCCAGAACGACTCCAAGTTCTGGTATTTCGATGTCAGACTTTCACAATCGAGCGATTAGCTAGCGCCGCGGTCGCGCTTGCGCGTAACTTAGGCCAATGGACCATTCGCTTGCAGCGACGCAAACCCGGCGCTACGAGCCACATAACGCTCCGATTTGGAAGTCTGGACACGGCTGTACATCGCTCGCACCCGCGATTAGCGATGCGAATCCACGGACTTCCAAAGTCTAACACCGGTCCTTTGTAAACCTCGGAAAGCCAGCTTATCTCCCAATTTCAGTATCGGCAAGCTGGCTAATTTACTCCCTGATATTGACCACGGCACTGTGCCTTCTTTTGACCATCTGTCTCGTGCTCTACTGCTGTGTTCTTCGACGGCGAAGCAGACGAGGAAGTCATTGTGAGTGAATCTGCGGTGATTTTTATAGGGCTACCGTAAATCCGGAAATATTTCAGCGTCTGATCGCGATCGAATCCTAAGAGACAGCCCTGACTACTCGGTGAAGATGAGAGTCGAACAGGACCGGTGAGGATATTCTTTCCAGTCGCTCTGGCTACCTTCGTGTGAGCATTTTCTTCAGATTCCGTTTCCTCATACGACGGCGACGGCTCCATCGGCACCGACGACACAGATCTCAACGCCTACCGCGACATCCCTAGCCACCGTGTCAAGGTGTACCGAGAATCGGTAAGTTCACTCTAGGATCAGGCTCTGATCCCTGAAGAGACAGATCAAAGCAGCGCAATCGCTTCCAAAGTGACTATGAATATCCTTCCAGATGGTGTCTATACTGGTGCCTGGCGTAGACCAGCCAAGTGAGGCGATAGTGAAGCGAATACCGAGCCTGTCTGGACAAAGTGAGCACTCCGCCACTACTTGCTCCAAGTCCTGCCCCATTGGTGAATGTGGACGAGCATTGACGTCAACCTATGTCTTGTGTTCGCCTTGGAATCGAGGGATCTGATCTGACTGGCTGGTCCAAGCGGGTTGAATCCTACCCGTATCCGCCCACACACTCCACTTACGGCTTTAGCTATGCGTTCGCTTTCAGAGGGATCAGCCCCGTTGTATTATAGTTCTGTTTTGAAGGCAGTATTCATGAGCTCATTATAGAGATGTGGTTTGGCCCAAAACAGTAGGAGGACGTAAGCAAACCAGCCCTTTTGGCGCTTCGGCTGGGACCGTATGCTGAATGTTGGGGAGGGGATGGAGTCCCCGACGGTGGACGGACCACTTCAACTCGGTCCTTAGAACCGCCACAATTTGGTGCTTACCTCAGAACTAAGCCTTAAAGAGAGGACGGGTCCGTCCCCTCTCCAAGGCTTAGTCCTGGGGTGAGCAAACCAGCCCTTCTGGCGGAGCTGCTGGACCAGCTGCACCACTTGCGTCAGTACTCTCCTATCGTACCAACCGAGTTGAAGTAAACCGTCGACCGTTGGGGACCCCATCCCCTCCCCAACATTCAGCATACGGTCCCAGCCGAAACGCCAAAAGGGCTGGTTTGCTTACCTCAGGAGCTACGGTGGGACACTTCAAGGGAGGCGTGGCTTTCCACCGGATCACCAAAGCTGGAAGTTTGAAGTCGCGAAATATTGACACATGCTCTTAAGCTCAAGTCAAAGTATTTATATTTCAAATCATGAGTGCTGCCTTCGAATGAAAGGGGCTGGTCCCGTATAACCTCATCCCCGTTGCACTTTGATCTCACGGGTTCTTCATGTGCTCCTTATTTTAATAAATCTTTGTGCTGTCAATGTTATTGTCAAAATGCTAATGCAATACGTAATAAAATTATCAGTTTTCAGGGGTTCACTAATCATGCAGTCAATTGAAAGCACACCTCGCTGATTCAGATTTAGCATGGTCCTCGCTAAGCAACACCCCAGATCAGCGTTGTGGTGCGTGACAGCGTTTGATCAATGAAGTTATGGATGGCTACTAAAATGAAAAAAATAGCCAGGAAAATGATCGGATGAATACACTAAACGAAGATTCCCATGACAAACTAAGGGCGGGGTCAGTATACGAGTTGTAGGAGCTTGCCTGCCTCCCGGGTTTCAACTAGCCCGCGCGTATTGTTGAAATTAGCCACTACCGTCCTCGTCACGGCGTTACCATGAAGAGAATTTGCGCTTACATTATTCGTGTCTGAGACTAGTCACCAAAGCTGGCTTAACAGACCCGACGACCATTTTATCGCGCATTTTTGAGCTCGCAACAACGGCGTGGCTACGCTGCCCATCCCACTGAATAGATTCTTCGACACGACTGCTGGGGGTGTTGCTTTGGAAACAAGGATAAATATGCAAAGTAGACCGACAGTGAAGAAACCAAGAATGATCATAAATCCCGAAATTAAAGACCCCTTCCACTGGTGAGGTAGAGCCTGGACGACGAACGCACGTCGAATGCTGGAGAGAGAGAGTCCAGGCGAAAGCACATCCTAGAGAAGGGACGCAGACCTACGCGTACTGAGGCATGACACAGGAACTTACATTCGCAGCCAGGTGAACAAGGCCCCAGCGCCCTTGTCGTGCATTTTTGAGTCCCCAACAGTAAGGCAAGCCTGTGAGAAGGACGCTTACCTAATGCTATTCACGAAATTCTTGTTATACACGGTGGGCTGTTGTTTCGAATTGAATTCTTCGGCCCATAGTTAATTTAATTGGGGTTCGTTGATCAGAAGATTAGGGTCGAGCCTCACTCGAAAAAACCTCGGATTGGATAGCCTGCCTATTTCACCTCAGGCGAAAGCTTAACGGCGATCAAATGCGAAAACGGCCCTCACAACGCGCTCAAATTATTTTAAAGTCACCGCGGGAGTTGCTAGTGGCAAGAAGCTGGTCACTTCTAGGTTGGAGAGAAGGAGTGCTAACACGCCGAGACTCAAAAGTGCGTGGACAAGTACGCTAAGGGCCTTCTTTGTACGCTGCATACCTGCCAACACTATCAAATGGACGGAGTATTCGCGCGTGGTCACCCGCATGCACACAACGTGCTCTGCTCACCTTCTCCCTCTCCTCGCAGCGCTGTGTCTCTCACCGTATTACACCCAAACACACGAGAGAAATTTCAGTGTTTTACATGGCCTTTTGCTATTTCTCAGTTACCAGTTACGTTAAAACAGCACAGTTGAAAACAAACAAAACAAGTCAAAATTCATTGCTAAAGCTTTCAGCCTCGCGGTCATTGCCGATATCGGCTAACCGGCTCAACACGTTAGACGTGTGAGTGCTGAAAGCTATGGTACGTATACCATGAAAAGCTGAGTTGGAATGAAATGGTGCCCCGGTAGCGTAACTGGTAGCGCACTTGCCCGGAAAGCGAGAGGTGCGGGTTCTAGTCCGCCTGGGGCGAAAGTTTTGTTCACAACCCAGCATTCTTGAAACAACAATTCGAACTGCTGCCTTGAAGGTTTTCTGACGGATCATGCAATGTTTTACATCTAATTTGATCGTCAGCGATTCACATTGAAAAGATAACTGTCCTTTGTATTTCAAGCTGGTAAAACTTGTTGCAGCTCTCCAAACTGACTATAGTGCAATCTTTCATATGTACAACAAATCGACATAACATTTGCTGAGTTGAAAATTTTATTTCGATAGAATTTGAACCTGACAACATTCGGATAGATGTAGAAAAACAACTGCTGATAGAGCTGTCTAAAGTACAACATCAACACCTCAATTTGATCCTTTCACCGTTTCATGTCACAATCAGTCCTAGCAGAGCACTCCATGGGCGGGGAAATTTTGGAGCCAGCGCAATCCCCTCTCGCAATTCCAGCATCCTATATCGCTGGTTTCTTCACCCATGGTGCACAATGGTTGGGAAGAATACGGAATATCTACCGTGCAGCCTGTCCCCTTAGGGTTGATAAGGGTTAAAACTTAGAGTGAGGAATTGTTTGTCCATTGAGTCGGCTCCGAGAAAGATATTAGCTATAGCTCAACCGCAATATGTATTTTATCGATCAGCGGGATTGCAAAACCTTTGCTATATAGTAAGCCTACCTTCGCTAAAGCATAACTCTTAATAGGGCAGTTGGTCAGGGGAAAAAACCCAACAATTGCTGCGAGATCTGGGTTTGTTGTAGGAGGAAAGCATCGTCTCGGAATCCAGTCTTGGATGGTATGCCGTCAAAGGTAACCAAGTCTTCCTTTCCCCAAGAGTCGGATAATGGGTACAAGGATAAAAATAATAAGTTGTATACAGCGGCAAGCCGAAATTCAATGTATGGACTAAATCTCACTCAAATTTAACTACGACTTCGAATGTAAATACAACGCATGGCATATCTCAAGGTGCGACTCATGAACACCAATTGCTTTATTCTCCATCAGATTTATCCCTTCCAAAAAAGTCTGGCATTGATTAGACAAACCCTCGAGGCATACATCGGTGATAGCGGTCAACTTACCAGTGTTTTGAGTTTGCTCCAGGACTGTTATGGTGACCTCTATTTCGGAAAACGAGAAGAGCGTCGAGTGCAGACCACACACCACAAGTGACGACGGCCAAGAAAAGAAAAAGCCACTTTTTTCTTGGCCGTCGTCACTTGTGGTGTGTGGTCTGCACTCGACGCTTTTCT